CAATGATGGATGGACTCATTAGTGCTGCAGTTATCGCCATCTGAACCAGGTGCCAAGACATATGGTTTAACAGATGTTCCAGCAAAAAGCTCTGTACGCTGCGCTGTACAAGTGTCCAGCTGAACCGGACATCGATAAGACACTGAAAATCGTATTGGGCTTCTGGGAGCCACAATGGTTTCCAGCTCAGGAAGCTGTTAAACACAGCCCGATTATGCAAAAAACCCTATTGCTCTGATATCCCAATTAGATCGACAAAACAAATGCTGGACACAACATACACTGCTTTCTGGAGTCTTGGTGTACCCAAATGTTATTTAATCTACCCAGTCAATTCTATTTCTCTACTGTCTTTGCAAAGAAATTAAGTTTTCTTCATATAGAAATCGTTACATTAAATAAGTAACCAGAGCCCCCATCCCGCTCTTGCATTTCCATGTTTAGAATGCCCTGTGTGCAGTATTCTTTCAAAAATTTAATACGTAACACATATCCATTCTGAGCATAGGATTACCATGCAGAAGTGACTTGTTTGCAAGCTTATTTACTGACGCAACTCCTCTGGAATGCATGACATTTCACAGGGAAATAAATAGATTAAAACAGGGATCCTTCTTACAGTAATTTAGCAAATCAATGTGCACAAAGCAGCAAGGTGCATCAAATGCTAATAAAAGAAAAACTCCTTATTCTTTAAGCATCTTTTCAAAGAAAGAAAATTCATAGGCTTTAGAAAGAAAGAAAATCAGCAGTAAGTGGGCAAGAACCAGTTTATTGTTATATCCATCTATACACACTATATTCATTTCTTTTAGACTACACACACACTTATGGTCACCACCTACAGGAAAGCATCTTTCAGCAAGAAATTCTGCTAATTCCTAAAGCTTAGAAATCAGAGCATACCAAAGCATAGCAGGTGGAAAACCTAGGTTACCACCTTGGGTTTAGAAACTCCTGTCACACAACTCATCTGCTTCAGTGTGGGCAGTAAGACCAAACTACAGCTGTTGGCGTGTGATATATTACAGTGGAAATTTCAAGAGAAGTTGGAAAAAACTGAAACAAAAGCCCCCCAGCATTACATTCTGAAGGGAATGACAAGTAAAAAAGCTACTAAGCCCTGTGAATGACTGAATGTACTTCAGAAACAACATCAATGTTGTTTAACATTTAAACAAAAACTAAGGACATCGAAAACCTTTCAGAATTTGCTAATAATTGCAGGTCATAAAGAGACTCCTTCAGCACATAACTGTAAAAGATTTGATAGCAGATCAAGTTGAAAAGGTGAAGAACAAAAGAATCTGAGCTGCATTTCTATCCTGCTCCCACACCTACTATTCACACTGTCACAAAGGTGTGTTTCACATCAACTTGTTCAACCAGTTAAATCTCTTTATCTGTGCAAATATTTATTCTGTATTAATGCAGCCTCAACTTTGGAAAACTTCTGTTATCTTTACTGTTTATCTTTCAATGACAGAGCTTTGACTGTCCCAAACATTGGTCCACTGAGGCTACAAAATACAGAGGTGGCAGGAAAGGGATATCAAAGGGGATAAGAGACCAGATACAATCCAAAACCAAACAAACAAGAGCAGAATCTGCAGCCATGAAAGTCAGGAGAAGTTCAATTCAGTGTTAATCCCTATTTGTCTGAAATGTTTACAGACATACATTTATAGAAAATGATGTGTTGATGAAAATACTGTCATTACAGCAATAAACACACAGGAAACCGTGTATTGAAATGCTGTGCCTATTTTTGTCCATTTTTATTTTTAGACACATAAAGCTATGTGCACTTAATTATATGTATACTGGGAAAAACATAAGCATGGAAATGTTCTTGCAGATAGAACATCTAGTATATGATCAGGGCTGAGTAACTAAAAGAAAATTGAAGTTTACATAGGTATACAAGGAGACACGCTACCATAATCCCCACTTTTATGTCATGGGGTTACAGTCTTTCCCTCTTCCCTGCTTCTAATCAAACATCCCAATCTTTTTCCACCTGCTGGCATTATTTATATGGGTAACTTAGGCGTGAATCAAGCTGGGCAAAAAGACACACACAAAAAAAAACCCCAAAAAACAAAAAACCAAGTAAACAAATAAATAAAACAAAAACAAAACCAGAAAAAACACGAACAAATCAAAACCCAACAAAAAGATCCACAACCCCCCTCCCCCCAACAACAAAAATCCAATTGGAGTCAAAATCTTTTTCAGTCAGATCACTTTCCTGAATTGACTTATTGGAGAGCTGCAAAAGCTCCAGATCAGTGCAGAGAGGGATCAAGAGGGTGAAGCTGATCCCAGAGCAGCTCAGACCAAGCCCTGCCAAAGCAGCCATGGGACTGCAGGACTTTGAACACAGAGACGGGTGGCTGCTATTTTTTTTTTTATGTGCTGCTGAACTTACTTTAATTCTTCTCAAAACAGAAGACTGCAAGAGCCAGAGAATACCGGTAGGGTCTTCAACAAAATCTCTGCCTGCACATATTTACTACTTCAATGCAAGCATATGAAATCTTAGATCTCCTCAGATGCAAAAAAAGCCTGATGTCCTAGATTGCTCCTCAAACTTTTCCTTATGAAAGAATGCGTTTTAATAGCAAATTCTTTGTTGTTTTTTCCTTTTTTTTCTTCCTCCTCAAGGAAATAGTTTTTCTTTTTCAATAAGGACATAACCAAAAGCTATTTTCTCTAAAACTATGTGCTTGGCAAGTGTCTTCTTCCCCAGCATCATCCACTTTAGTTTTCATTTTTGCACTTTGTTTTTTTTATAATGGCCTTATTTTTTTGAGAAAAATACATTCCTGGAATGCTTCAGCTCAAGGCTCTCAAAAGCAATTATTTAGGCATTTGATTTGATCTGCCAGTTCTTCCTTTCAGGCTATTCGGGCTTTATGAATCTTGAGTTTGGTCAAAGGTTAAAGCGAACCTTTCCCAAATTACACTCCAGTGTTTCATGAGGCCAAACATATCCATGCCAGTTTTTAAGGATAAGGAGTAAATCCACTATTAGCTATGTACAATAGTTACTTTGAGTGCAATCTAAAGTATCCATATAGGGAAGGTTGCCAATTCACACATATTGGGAAAGTAGGATTGCTGAGGTGGAATGATGAGTGAGAAAAAGTCCCCCTTAAACTGATGAAAATTCATGACTGTTTACAAGAGAAAAAGAAAGAGAACAGAAGCTCAAGTATCAAGGTATCTTCAAGAGTATCAGGGCACTTCACAAGCCCAGGCAAGCACAGTTATAACCTCTAAAGCACTTCATCTATCACACTGTGAGAAATTATCATATCTGTGATCCATATACACACACACACACAAATAAACTACCCATGAAGCATATGGAGGGACAAAACATATGTTTTCTGAGTTGATCTGGCTGCTAGTTGGGCTTCTCCAGGGAGTGAAAGTTAGAAAGGATAATCTGTCAGAGTTATCTGCCTCCAAGGAGTGAGTGAAAGGGAAGATTTCCAGCTGGCTGTCTCTACTGGGTCTTTCTGACCCACAATCAACTGCAAGTGGCGCTTCACAGGTTTGCTGGAATGCTCCTCATGCTATTGTCTTGCCTTGGATATAGCAAAACCCAGGCCAGTTTCATTTTTTGTGCTTTGTGTGCTCTATTTGGCAAGTCTCTGAAATCAAGCTGCTTTTTCTGAATGAATGCATTACATGTTTACTCAATTTAAACAAATTACTGCTCAAAGACATGGAGTACAAATCATTCCTACTGCTGTGATACCTTTTCACTAAATGCAATGCAGTTACTGCTTGTGTTCCTTTTTAATGTTGCAGCATATTTGTCTGATAATATCATTTGCATATCAGATTTTTCAATCATCTTTTAAAAAAATCTCTTTAAAATTTCAAGCTTATCACATGCCTATATGCAACAGCTAGCCAAGGTTCATCACCTCCACTATTAAAACAGAAATTAAGCTGAAATAACTGATGGTAGCTCACTTCAAAATATATTTGGTCAAAAAACCATATTTTTAAAGTTCTGATTATAGATAATTTATAAGTATGTTTCCCAAAAAATTACATAGATTTTAATTCTGAAAATAAACAGTAATACATATTATAGGAAAATAAAGTTTTAGAGAATATATTTAGAAACCATTCTAAAGGGATGTTGGTGCTTAAGATTTACATTTAAACTAAAGAATGCACAGAAGTTGTATATGTACCACTTAAGTGATTTTTTTAAAATCCTTTTTAAATGGTAAAATTTAATTTTTTTAAGAGCAACTGGAAACTTTGCCATTATGTTACTCAACCAGTGGTCTTAAGTGTAAGTACCTCATTGCCATAATACAGAGCAGACTGGGTATTTTGGAGGATGGTGGTGTTCATTTCTTTTTTTCCTTCTTTCATAATAAGAAGGGTTATATTCTGGTTAGAGCCATCTCTTAAATTCTGACATACATACTATTCACAATCATAAATGGGTAAAAGTTAAAGCTCCTCCTATTGTGGAGACAGAGAAAAAGGATGTGCAGCAGTCCTTTTAGGCTCTTCCATTAATGTGCCACTGAGTGAAACTGATATGCACACAGAAGTGCAACCACATCTCTCCAGCCACCTGCTTGGACAGGTAATTTATGTGATTAAAAAGTCCTCAAAATTCACAACAGCTTTGTTACATCTGTGTATTACTAGATCCTAAATGCCAATTATCTGCATTTAATGATAGTACATTTTTAAACAGAGGAGTTGATTTACAATGAGAGAAAGCACACAATGCCTTTAAGGACCAAACTTATCCCAGCACCCACACCAGCTCTTATTTTTAATCAAAGCTTTACAACGTTGCAAAACTGATTACAAGTTTCTCCATTGAACAGACATAAAATTCCATTTAAACTACATATTTTACATGCAGAAAAATAAAAGGCTTTGAATTTTAAACATTTCATATCCAGAAAATAGCTTGTCCTCTAGCCAAACAGACTTGCATGAGTTAGCCTTACCTGGAGCCATAACTTGTTATTCACTGCATCTCTCCCTGTAGCAATGCACTGAAATGTAGCATTCTGCCCTGCATTGACCTCTACATCCCCCAGCCTCAAAAAATGTGGAGATTTATCTGTAGAGGGGGAAAACAAAAATTACAAATAAATGTCATTATAAAAAAATAAAGGTGCCAGAAACATTATTATCTCCCTCAACCTCCATGTTTTAACAATCTTTGGCTAAAAAAGAAACAGAAGAGAGAATATTATTTGTCTCATCTGCATTCGAGAAGTGCTTTCAGTCTTTCCTCTTCTCCCCTGGTGATTCTACTAACTTTATGTTATACATGTGTTATAATAAAGTCTTTTTAAAATAGAAGCCAAAAGAAGGAGATCAGGTGCCAAAATGTCAGCAGCACTTGACAAGAATTATCCCAACGACTTTTGACTTTATGAAATCCATCATACTGAGAAAAACCCTATTAGCAGCATACCACTCAAGCAAATAGATACTGCTCATGTTATTTGCAATGCAACACAGAGCTCTTGTTTTGGAAAACGAAACCACTTGTGGCATTGAATATAATATTTCAGGAGCTGACAAATATATTTTTCACACTGAGAAAGGCTGTAGGAAATCTCAGTGGCACAACCACCTGAAGGATTTACTAGACCTACAAAAGCCAACAGAAACATTTGAGGAATGAGCATGTTACGCAGCTCACCCACCTTTTTCTCAAGAACAACTAAAGAAAACAGTAGTTGAACTGTTCTTTCTTTGTGCTTACTAAAGAAACATGATGCACAGGAAAAAAACATTAAATTGGAACAAACAGGGTTTAAACATCAGTAACAAAAAGAGCTTGTCTGAATACTATAACATACTGATAATGTGCGGGATGACTGTATCCGAGTGCCTTTTGTTTTGGCATTTCAAAACAAAACACAAAGAGGAGGAAAATACATATGAAAGCCAGATATTGAATCCAAGCAGAGCTTTGCTGAGAACAGGCATCAGATAGCTGGGATGGCTGAAATATTAAAAAGGTAACTCACTCAAATACCCTGTAAGCCTGGTAGCTCCCAAGAGCTACGATTTTAAAAGGTTTGGAGTAGAAGAAAACAGGATGTGAGGCTGCCATTGGAACTTTATTATTTGGCATCATTTTGCAAAGTTGGAGCAGGATATTGTTATGTCCTGGTCATTTCATAAAGCAATTAAATTATCAGCCATGTGGTACATTAGAATGAAATCATATTTTAGAGAGGGTATGTCTAGGGGAAGATGAGAAGAGTTAAACAGAAAGAAATTGCAAAAAATTTTGATAACAAGTGCTAGAAATGCACAGTAACAATTTCTTCCTCACAACCTTTTATTTGTAGAATATTCTCATTGTCATAACTTGTGTTTGCATGTATGCAATTATTCCCCAGGATTAGCAGGGAAAGGCAAACATAAATGCCTGAAGCCTGCCCACAAAACAATAAAGAAAATGCAATCTCTCAGTAGTTCAACAGCCAGAAGTCTCTTTTTTAATCTATTTTGTCTGTTTAGAAAAAAAAAAAAGAAAAAAGGGTTATAAAATCTGATGAACCTCCTACAAGCATCTGCCAATTCAGTTTTCTTTAATCAGTGAGTATATACATTAACATTAAAACCCATTTTGATTATACACACCAACTGTGTATGAGTGAAAAGACTTTGAAGAATGCCCTTTTTTTTAATCCCTGTATAATTTACTTCTGGCAGAAAAATATTTCACCCAGGTAAATCACTATTGCAATCACATATCTTCCTGGAAGCTGCAACAAAAATACTATTGAAACAACAAAAAATATCAGTGAACAAGTGATGAAAACTGAGCAGTCCACAGCAATATCATATATGTCCTGAAAAGACAGAGAAAAATGCAGCTCTTAATCATTACTTACCGCAAGGGTAACTCAGGACCTGGATGTCATCAATGGCAATGTAGCCATTTCTTCCATCTGAGACTTCAGCTTCAAATATTACCTGTCAAAATGAAAGAAAAAATGTTTACAACACTCATTTCTACAGAATTCCCCTGGTGGCAAGCGTGTAGATATAAGACACATTGCCTTTTTCATTTAGTTGAAGTTCCTACAAGGTTTGACAACTGAATGGAATATTTATTAGTCAGTGTGGTGCAGATCCCTATCATTCATATACATGGCTTGCTTTGGATTTGCTGCACATAGCACACCAGAAAAATACATGTTTAACTGCATACTGCTTTATCTCAGCTAAATGTGCAAGCATGATTCAATTCTGAAAAAATGCCATTACTTTCAGACAGGTTAGGCATCACTTCACACAGGTGATCAACCAATTTTAAGAAAATTTGTTTTCTTCCTGGGGCTCACAATATAGTCTCCTGTAAACTTCTGCAGCTCAGTTGCACAGGAAAACACAGAAATAGTGCGGCACTCCCCAGTGGCAACAAAATGAACAGCTGTGACACGAGATTTATGCAGTTGTCATTAACTTCATTCTTCCTTCTTGCAAGGCAGTGAGGAAATTCCTATGTATGAAGAAAAAGAAGACACTGTCTTCACATCCAGTGTCTTCTTCCACCCCAAACGGGCAGTTAATAACAAAGAATTGCTTGGTGGTGGTTCAGCAAGTTCCTGAAATTGTGCTTTGACTGCAGAAAGAAGATGCCTGTGGGGAATGTATATTTTGATAGCCCTGGACTATAATCCTTCTTCCAGTTTCTCCAGACATTCTTGCTAAGACTGCACTTCTAGCCAATTTCTTTTTTTTCCTTCTAATTTTATTTGCACCCAAATGGAATTTAGTTACAAGAACCACTTCATTCTCTGCCTCTTGCTCCTGCCTTGGCCAACAGCAGCATGATGGATATTAATTTAGTGTCTGGGAGTCCTACTTTCATAGTGTGCCTTGTCCATTGACCTTTCTGACCAGAGCACTGTTTGACAATGTCTACTCACTCTTCAGGCATTTTCAGAGAGCTGACACTTGTTCCCAGTAACAAACATCAATATGACTATCTTTATTTCTTTAATAGTTTGGATTATCATCTTTTTCTTTACTTAAATGGTATGGTATGGAAAACAACTCAGTAAGAAAGAAACATTAAAGTCCTTCTGACAGACTGGTTTCTTTAAAGCACAATACAGTTCTATAACATACACAAACTCTGAAAGCCCATTGTTTCTCAAAGTCTAGTTAAGAAATTTTCACACCAATGCTAAGAACTGAACTAAATTTGCACTTCATTCTAACTGGTTTGTTATGGATTCACTTGGAAATAACTTAGATCCAATTCTCAGGAAAGCTCTGGCTATATAAGTGTCCTTCTCCTGTGTGTTGATACCTTCTTACACTGGGAGTCAGAGGACAGAAAGCCACATTTCTTGGGATACTGCTGGGAATTAATTTACTTCAATTTTTTTTTCCCGTCTGCTAGATGCTTTTTAGTAATCTCCACCCTGCAGGAATAGGAAGCTATCAGAAAAGGAGAAATCCACAGCAAATAGAAAGATAAAAGACATGGAGAACCATGAGAAAAAGAAAAGTAACAAAAAAAACCTCCAGAAAACATGGAGAAACACGGAAAGACAAGAAGTTTATGCAAAGTTATAAGGGACATGGTTTATAAGGTAAGAAAAAGAAAAATACAATAATTAAAAAGACATATTAGAGAGCTGATATTTCATATATATAGTATCATTTTTATATTCATAATTGGCAGAAATACAACTATGAAACATTCATAACTATGGATAAAGTAAAAATGCTGCTCAGTTTAAAAAATTATTATCAGGCTTTAATTTGATAACATCTGTTCATATTTAAAATGGGAAATGGAAAAAGGCAATTGCATGCATGGGTGAAAACAGCAGTTCAAAATGCTGACAAGTCAGGCAAGAATCTGAGATAGTTCTTTTCCTCAAATACACAAACACCTTGAGAAAAAACAGACTGTTGAGCCATTGCTTTCACCAGAGGGGGCTTATCCTAATAAGACACAAGTTTCTGGGAGTGAATCCTGCACTTCACCTGCACTGCTATTCAGTTTGCAGTCCTAGAAAGAATAGCTTCCACACTTCTGTTTTAGTTGAAAAAAAAAATCATATTATCACTCTCTCCAGAAAACATTAGTTGTCTGTGCAACCATAAATGTCCTTCCTTTATTACAATTTAATTGCATGCCCATATAGTGCACTTCTGAGAGATGCTCACTTTCTTTAATGGAGAAGAGAGAGAAACTGTTTCCAGGGGATGAATTGGGCTGGCACAGAGCAGGGGCATGGAGACAACTATCCTGTCTCATTTGTACTAGAACTGACACAATGAATGAGAATGGGAAGTGCTGAATATTTCAGGTAATTCAAATGCTACTCAAGGGAATCAGATTGATCCCAGAATCTTCTACATAGTTCCAAGATGATATACAAAAAGTTATTTGCTTCTCCAAATAAAATTGCATATCCTTGTTTATGAAGTATACCTACATTCAGACACAAATTAAGATCCAGGGTCAGAACTCCCTGAACTGAACACACTCCTATGTATTTAGCTATTCCTAATGTATTTCTTGTCCATATACTGGCCCATTTTCTCCCTAAAACCATGCAAGCTTTTAGTGAACACAGTGCTATTTGGAAAAATCCATGGGTTTACTATTGACAGCATTAAGAGACCTTTTCACTTGTATGGTTTATACCAGACTTCATTTAATGAACCAAATCAGTGACAAATTGATCCCAGCCAGCCTTTTATATTATTCACAACTTTGTAAACCTCTAGTATATATCCCAAATGTAAATGCAAAAGTAATTTTGTCTTAAATTTGAAGAGTCCCAGATTGTTCAGCCAAACTCATATAAAAACCATTCCCTTTTCTTTGATTATGCTCATCCTTCTCTCTAAAGCTCTTTCTAACAACAATATATTCTTTGAAGATAACGAGAGCAGAGCTGGCACACAGTAATCAAAATATGGGTGAGTCATAATTTATTCAACAGCTTAACACCATTACCTAATTTATACTGAACTTATTTAACCATTCTTAACACTTTATTTGCTTTTTTCGACCATCACTGGGCTCTATGCTGATGTTTTTATGAACCCTGTGATTTTGCTGCAGAGTGGCAATGGCAAGCTTCAACTGAGTCCATCATTCTGTGTGTGAAATTTAGATTTTATGGAGTGTGCATTTTTTTATATCTCATTATCAACACTAAAATGTGCCTGTCATTTTATTTCTCAATCACTCTCAGTTGGCGAGTCCTTCTACAGGATCTCATAATTACATACTGTCCTTGCAATTCCAGTGCAGCTTTTACCTACAAACTTCTGTGTTTTTACTGTTTTTTGGCACCCACTCTGGTCCCATATGAACATGATGACACAATTCTGTATCTAAGGAAGTATCTCATAGAATGGCAGCTTGGCTTCACCATAAGATTGTGCAGAGGGATATTTGGAAATCTAACTAGATCTAGATTCTGTTAATCACATCACTCTTACCTATATACTTGTCATCTGTAAAGGGCTGCAAGCTAAAAATTAGGTGTGAAAATGATAAGAACAAAATAAAAATTAAAAAAAAATGAAAGCTGTTTTGGTTTAGACACTGGAAAACAACACATACCTTTTCATGTCACAGCTCTAAAATCCCAAAGATGACAATCACTATTTATCTAATATTATTCCAGAAATAAACTTTTTTGACCAATTTAAATACTCAACAGTGTTTTAATGTGATGGAAAAAGTAGTAATTATTACATCAGAAACTCCTACAGGCCTTTAGTTATTGAAGTTTAACGCTTAAGAAATACTTCAACCTCCACATTGCTTCACAGCCCTAACAATGCATCCTGTAACCATCACAAAGGCTAAGCCTGAACTTGCAGGAATGTAAGAAATATACTTCTTAAGGACTGGCCTCACTAAATTTTTAACTCTTGTCAGGATCCAAAAGTTTATGTACCATCATCATTAGCTCATTTGAGGCACTGGTCAAAACAAGCACTCCCAAAGCATACCTAGTCAATTAATGTAGTCAGGAAAGAGGGAAAAATTCTGTAGCCAAAAGCCTACCCTTAGAAATACAATTCTTCCTAAGTTTTGTAAAAGCTGTTTTCTTGTAAGCAATAAACATCAGCAAGAATGGTGTTTTCAGTACAATTTGGAGACCTTCTTTGTCCTTTCTCCACTTGACTAGTTCTGACCAGTCATGGTAGTGAAGGGGGTACAATGTCCCAGTTTTGACATCAGTCCTGCCTCATCATCATATATAGAAAACAATGCATCATTTAGAGAAAAGTCAGCATTAAAAGGTTTAGTTACAACAGAAATGCAGTGTTTCATTGGCAATTTTTTCCTGCTAGGCTCTAATACACCTAATTAGGGAGAGATGAAGAAGAATTGGAGATGAAAATATAAAGAAGTGCTTAAAAGGAAAAATTTAGATACTGTAATTTCCATAAAGCATTCAACCTACAACATACTTTTCTTCAGGCATAGTAGGACCTCTACTAGCTAGGTTATCTGAAATCCAACTTGTACATGGATGAATTCCAGTGCTTGGTGGAAAGGTGTACAAGAGAGCTGTGTGCACACAGAAGTTAATACATCTGTGATAAACCACAGTAAAACCAGAGTACAGCACAAAAAAGACAACCAAAACCACTGAAAAACAAACTACAAAAGAACCTACAAAAAACAAACAAAGAAACCCCAACCAAACCAAAAGAAGCAGTGAAGTTATATCAACTTCACTGAAATTCACCAGATGTGTTATATTAACCACACCAGATATAAAACTTTAGTCTTTCATAAGAATATAAAAAGAAAACTTTAATTAAAGTTTATTTTCTACTTCATACACACCTCTTTCTTTCACTATTTTTAAGTTTTGTAACAGCACAGTAGGGTATTCCAGATATACTCATACCTAGTACTTGCAATAGAATTGATAAAAGCTAAACAGCACACATAGAAGTTTGTTTTGCAGTAAAAT